GGGGGGGGGGGGGGGGGGGGGGGGGGGGGGGGGGGGGGGGGGGGGGGGGGGGGGGGGGGGGGGGGGGGGGGGGGGGGGGGGGGGGGGGGGGGGGGGATGTGCAGCACACGAGCGGCGGCGCCAAACGTTACAAGCGTGGGAGGCGGAAATACGAGGTGGTGGCAAAGCTATCTACGTGCGGCGGCATGTAGTCCCATCACACCCCTGTCGGAGGAACAAACAAAAGCGATTTCTATCAGAGAGACTTCTCATGGACAAAAATAACAAGAACCCGCCGGTGCTGGAGTAATCGGGGCCCTATGGCAGTCAGTCGTGTGCACAAGGCGGGAAAGTGAGACTAGGCCCGTGAACGCGAAAAAGAGGGGAGGACAAGGACACACATGGGAGTATCAGTATTCTTGCTACAAAAGTTACGAGGAAGGGTTCAAACAAAGCATCAACAGCAACGAGAAGGCCTTATTCCACACACCACATGAGACGGTCTGACATCAGACCCGATTGGAGACAACAAGAATAGTGATCCCCCCCTCCCCCCCCCCCAAAAAAGCATCCTCCCTACCTTGACGGCGTCGTCGTAACCGTCCATCGCTAGACGCGTGTCACCGGCGCCCATGAGCTCGAACGACTGCTTGACCAAGGGCCTAGCGCGAGCTAAACAGGAGGCGAGGCTGCACTCCTGTCCGCTGGTCTCCGCCACGAGGGCCAGGTACTGCATTTCCACCCGCGCCAAACGGCCGAGGCACCTCTCCAGCTGAAAAAACCGATTGGGGGGGTTGGGAGGGGGGAGGGTGCAGCTTCGTAACTTGACCATGTTCAACAGCAGAACATCATTCTTACAACGCCCAAGCTTACCCAGGGCTGTGCACAAGATCGTTGTCTAGAGGTTCACTTCACATCAAAAGGAACCGATACACTTGCTGTTACATTGACCACCACTTTTGTCCGGAAATATATAGGGACCATTGGGGTATTCGGGTTTGTATACGAATGGCCCTTGAAATATTGAACATGGGGGGAGCATGTTATTTTGTTCGTTACCTCGTTCTCGAGACACTCCTGCTGTCTGTCAGCGCGGCGTCGGTAAGCCCTGGCCCTCTTCAGGTGCGACAGCATCGTTAGCGTGCCGTTGGGCAGGCTCGAGTCCGCGAAGGCTGGACCGAGCACTTCTACCCTTGTCGTACCCGCTGACTCATCGATGATGTCCTCTCCCCGCATGAGGTCGCGAACCTGCCAGTCCCGGCAATTTTTATTCCCGAATCATTTAGGAAAATTGAAAAACATAGATAGCAGATACCGCCAAACCTTGGGTTTATATAGCTGAGGATCGCCAAAGGGTATTTATGTAGCTGTTATCGCCAAGCTCTGCGCGTTAATCGCAACGCAAGAACGAGCGCGTTAATCGGGACACAAGGACAAGTTTTCGCCGCACTTGGGATGTGCCTGCCCTGTTCGCATGGCCGCCAAGACCTTCACAACACAAGTTCTACAAGTCATGGTCGCCTAGCTATTTACCGCCACTGCCGCTGCACTATATCCGCACCGTACCAGGCCCCAACCGCTACACTAGGTTCGCGAAAAGAACACCACCACACGATTCAGAATGAAAAATTGGGTACTGTAATACGAGATCCCGGAGCGTGTATGTTTGTGTGTGTGTTCGTGTATTTTTTTCCCTTCTTTTCTGCCCACCTCGTCCTCCGCTCGATTCCCGGCCGCCATCGCCTGCGCCGCCGCGCCGCCCTTCCGCCCATCGTAGTCGTCGGAACCTGTGCCGTGTTCCGCCGCGTAAAACAAATGCACCGTATGAGTGAAAAAAATTACACCGCACGAGTAAAAATACTAGACCGCATGACCAATCCCCCCGGCAAGAAAGCCAGTGGTGCATACAGCACGTAGACAGTGGTACATACAGCAAGTATTCCGATGTTCCGCGTAAAAAAAACAATTAACACCGAGAGACCGGAACCCCCGGCCAAAGTCAGCAGTTCAGCAACAAGTGGTCCCGATATACCGGAGTCCCGAAGAGCGCGGTTCCCCATACACGGGGCAAAAAAATAAATCTGTCACTGCATCGCGATAAATCGGGACCACTGCTGTAAAATACTTCACAAAGTAAATCAAAGTAAAAACACACAAGACAACATGTTACGGCTTGTCCTCGACGTCGTGGTGGTATCTAGAACATGGGACAACGTGAGGGCCATACTTTTTTATGCACAAACATCAACCCTGACGCTGCTGCTGCTGCTGCTGCTGCTGCTGCTACATGCACGGCGGTCGGTGCGTCGCTAGGCAGGCGTGCCGCGCACCTGACACTCCTTCGAGCTCGGTGATGACAGTCTGCAGCTTCTGCGCGATGTTGGGCCCATTGGCGACGGTGCCACCCTTTCGAGCGCGGCGGTCCCTCTTGCGCGCCTTCGGGTCCAACCCGGCGCCCAGAGGTGGCTGCGTACCACCATGGCACGGCCGCGGCGGCGGCGGCGGCGGCGGCGGCGGCGGCGGCGGCGGCGGCGGCGGCGGCGGCGAAGAAAAATGTTTGCGCGGGCGTACAAGAAAAAAAAGAACGAGACAGAAATGAGGTCGAAACATAAATAATAAAAAATGAAAGAATAAAAACAAGTAATCAGCACGGACGGGTGTGATGTGTGATTGCACGCACACACAAGGTACAGGAGAGGGTGAAACAAACACATTTAAATTGCTGTGGGTGTGCACGGTAATGGGCCCGCCGCTTTCGTCGTCGGTAACGGTCGACACTTGTAAGACACTCTCTAACGCAAGCCACCGGGAAAAAAAAACTTGTAGTTGCCTCTCTCTCTTTGTGCGCCGTTCGAATGCAAACATCATGCTACCGCCGTCGCCACTGCGCCGGCGGGGCGGTGAATCTCCTCGCGTGCCATGTGTAAGCTGCTGTGTACCACCACCACATCTGCACAGACCTCTCACGCAGGCGCCTTCCCACCCCCAACATTGTGCTATACATGCTGTGTGATGCCTCTGTGTTACCACCTACACCGCCACCATCATTCCACACAAACCTCAGAGGCAGGCGCAGTGCCGCCGCGAAATGTGGTCCCGCCCGCCGCCGCCGCCCCCGCCGCCATCCCTCCACGGCCAGAACCGCTCATGCTGACGCCCGCGGTGGCGGCAGTCGGCGTCGGTGGCGGCAATGAGCGGCCGACGGGTTTCCCCTCGTCTTCCACCTGCTTCACGTGGGTCTTCGCGAAAGGCTCGAAGCCGGCCTTCACGTTGACCCCTGCAAAAACGGGACGCAAGACATGAAAACGGAGCGCGGCAGCTGGGATGGTTGACTGTGGGACGCGTATCGGGGAAGACGGTGGATGGTTTGAACGAGAACCGTAGAGGGGGGGATTCGACGAGACGGATCGGAACAGACGGAACGGAGCAACCGGATATGGGACGGAACCTGGAAGTGGAACTGGAACCTGTTTCAAGGACCATTGCTGTTTCGAGGACAACCAACGAGCACCAACCGTAGAGGAGCATCAAAATGTTTGGCTTGGAAATGACCAGGGTTTTCAGGAGTCACGCAACTCGTCGAATGACCCGGTATATCAGCTCATCCACTTTAGGCCATACCCTGATCTGGCATGTGACATTGCTCAGTCCGCCCAGGCTCATCTTTGACCGGACGGCCCTATTATAGCATGAAATGATCCGTCAGTCACGGTTCACGACAAAGCGGCTCATGGGAAAGCCACGTGTAATATCTGCCCGCATACAGGTGTGGTACACAACGTCGCCAGTGTACAGTCAGTTCGTGATACGGCTCGGAAGTTTTTCTGAATGGTCCTGTGTCAAGCATCCAGTCCGCACCCAGTTCCAGAAAAGACACGACGAAGGTGGCTACACGACCCGTGAATCATATCGGTCGACCTCGGACCTGATTGCCCCCTGTCTTTAGACCCACAACTGCGAAAATGTGCCTGAATAAGTTCTTGAGGTAACGACAACAACACTGGAAAACCCATGTTCGCAACTCTGCCTAAAGCTCTGTTTTGCCCTACCCCACCAGTCTGCTGACCAATGAAATTACTTGAGTTACGGTAGTCTTCTGTGAGGAAAAAACGCGAACGCGTTCCCTAGTCAGCAGGCCCCCGATAGGGGGGGGGGATTGGACGATTTAGGTCCAGTCTGCGGTAATGCGTGTCATGTGCCCTGCCGGCTACACAGCACTGCTGTGGCATCTTACACGCTCACCACAGGAAGACCCCCTATTGCTGCTGCCGTCTAGGCTAACCATGTAGGCCCCCTTCCAACACCTTCTCAAGGCTGCGGTTATTGAGCACTGCCTTTCTTTCGCCCTACATATCGGTGGAATCCCTTTTGACAAGCGTTTCCATGTATGCATGTACATGTACTACTTGCAACACCCCAAAGGCGAGCTGTATTGTGCCGAAGCTTACAGAACGGGTCCGCAGTAAAGGAACGTCGACATCGAGTCGAGCCTCAATTCCTCAAGATGGTCGAAGGACCAGCCGAAGTAATTCACACAAAAAAATCATAGGTACTAACATTGCGAGGTCCCCAATCGGGACGTGGGTGCTAGGTCTACAAAGGGTGACGCAAGATGGTGATATACATACCCGAACGCTTTCATGGACTAAGGTTATTGGTGTATCATGTGGGGAGTCTCGAGGCAGTGCTGGTTACAAAAGGATTCGTGCCATAGGTCTCGTGTCATCGCGTGTGAGCTGAGAGATGTCGCCAGACCTTTCAGCAAGCTGCAGGACAATACAAGAATATCGACTGGATGGACTGATGACGAAAGGGTTGTGCATTCAAAGCCGCAGCATCCACTGCGGTTTGCTGGAAATACCACACGTACGTACACATACCCAGGCACAACACCTGGTATGCGTTCAATAGGATCGAATGGATAACACCAACTCGATATTTTTTTCTTATTGTCATGCACCACACGGGGAATCAAACATAGATGCATCCACCTAAGACTGTACTAATGAAATATACTTCGCTCTGGGTAGTGTTCTGGTAGGAATCAAATGCCCGACTGCCTCTCATAGTTCTGGATTTATCTAAAACATGAGTGAAAATAAACAAAAACACTTGGACATAGTGCGGAGGGGCCTTCCTTTATCTATCCTATGAATATTTTTGAAAATCCACCTGTTTCAACGAGCGTACGGCGTATTTACCAACAATTAGCATTTGACATACAATTCAACAATTTGACTTGCGGTTGCGACGCGCACATGCTCGTACTATGCCCCTGCTATGCTACTGGCAAGGGAAACACGGCATTTCACTGGATGAACAGCGTCGTCGTCCTGCGGAGAACGGTGGAAAGGGGCACTGTTGGGCAGTCACGTTGATGCAGCTAAAACAAAAGTGATGGGTGAAGGATTCCCCCCCGTCCCTGGTCGAACACGCCTTCTTCAACGGAGACCGACAGAAAATTGCTGGTCTGGTCGATGGCGCTCGTGACGTGACTACAGTGGATGGAGTTTGATGCATCGAGAGAACGATGGCTGTTCGTTGCCGCGAGCTTAGTCCGCATGTGAGCCTGACCCAAGTGTCGATCGAACGCGGAACAACCTCCGTCCTCTCGATGACGCGTGACCAATGTTCTAACCGCCAAGGCATGCAAAACATAACGTAAGCCCCCCCCCCCCCCACCTCTAACAACAAAAAAAATCTCACCGCAAGATCTGTGATTTTCGCCGGCCACCCAGTGGCAAAATTCTGGGAAGCCATTCGGGAGTTCCTCGATCATGAGAGCCTGGGGGACAGATCTGCAGCCCAACACCTAGACGGAGCATGGATAGAAATAGTAGAATAGTAGACAAGCGCAGAGGGCCCTCGATCAGCGAGTGATTGTAGCAGTACGTCGTTAACGAACACCAGCGCGCGACACAAATTGGTGGTGGAAAGTAGCAAATCGTAGTGAGCAGGACCAGTAGATTGGTGGTCAGCAGTAGGAGAAAAAAAGCGTTTGAAGCCAGCGGTAGCAATCGTAGGGCCGTGCAGCGAAACACACAGGCCTGATGGAACGGGACAGCGGCCTGTGGCTTAACACTCAATCCGAGCAGAACACAACAACAAAGGAAGGGCAATGCGACGACCAACCAGCAAGGGCAACCCGACAACACCGCGCCAATTGGCAGTCAAGCAATCCATGCGCCGGCGCTATACACAGGCGTCCGGCACTCTCGCCACGTCGCCACCTTTATCAGAAGCGCACGTGCCTCCCGGGGTACAAAGCCACAGCAGTCCCGACCACCGCCGCCACCGCACCTGATCGCTGTACCAGTCCGGAAAGCTCTTGGGCATGTCCTTCGCGAACGACTGCCACTTCTTGAGGGCGGTGAACCCGAGCCGCTCCGCTCCTTCCCTCGACTTGGCGAATGCCGTCCAGAGCGGGGAAACCCCAGCGGCTGCGGCGGCCCCCTTCTTGCCGGCCTTCCCCGTCTTGCTCGACCTAGCCGCCGCCGCCGCGGCCGCCGCCGCGGGCTTGCCGCTCTTCCCCTCCCCACCGCTGTTAGTCTTATCGGCATTCTTGGGCGGTGCCTTCTTCGACTGTTTCGGCGGCCGCGGTATTTCCTCTTCCGCTTCGGATCCGGAGTCGACCCACATGGGCGGGGGGGGCTCCTCCTCCTCCGTCCCCCCCTCCTCGTCACCGCTTTCTGCGTCTCCCCCTTTCTCTGAGTCCTCACTCTCGGTGTCTTCTTCTAGCTCTTCCTCGGCATCGGACTCCCCTGTTGTCGAAGTGTCCAAACGTTCTTGTGTCGAAATGTTCAAAGTTTTTACGTCAAAATGTCAATAGTTTTGTTTTGGAGAGCATGCATGCCATTGCCACGCCAGGCACCCCAGGTGTATCTTGGAAAACAAAAAAACACAATAGGTTCATGCGCCGTTGATGCTGACACTCCAGTGTTGACACAAGATGAAAAATGTGATAGGTTCGGATGACTTTTCGTTTTGCGCATGCATATGCCTGGTTTCTCGCTCGCGGGGCCTCGTCTTCGCGTTGGTTATCGGCCTCTCTCCTGACGACTGTTTAGCTTGACTTGTGGGACGCAGGGACGAGCACCAAAGAAAGGAGACGGCCTACGGGCACTCACCTAACGGCTCTATTTTTATTGATTCGGCCGAACAATCAGCAACGTCGGCGGCGGCGGGTTTCCACGCAGTGTATGCATGTTTTTATGTTTTATCGTTTTATCTTTTGGCATGGGTTCGGCTCTCGACCCTCACGGCATTCGCTCTAATCAAGCTTCTTCTCGCCGTATCACAACCAGACTCCTCTATCTGTCTGTTTGTCTGTCTGTCTGTCTGTCTCTGCCCCCGTCCGCCTGTCTTCCTCAGTCTCAGCCTCTCGCTATGTCTTTCTCTTTCGTATGCAGTGTGCAGCTTAATTCACAATGCCTCTGACGACACTTGCGCTATTCAAAAACTGTATGTCGAGCCGGCGTCGTTCGCGAATGCTGCTGCTCTGGGCCTCGGTGCCTTGGTGAAAGTATATGTTGTGGGCCACATCAGGATGAGAACCTAGGTTCCCGGATTGCGGATGATTGCCACCACATTCCAGTCGCCAGGTGGAGCTCGACTGCTCTCCCGACCCCGGGGGTCACGGGACTGTCAACTGTCACTCCTTCGCGACGCAACCACGCGTTGTCGCTTCCGACGGAACATGGGTAGCTGTACTCTTCGCTATGCTAAACCAGGCAATCTCCACGTTGCAACCGACGGCGAAAACCGAACCAAAAAGGACAAAAAACCGATGAAATCATAGTCCAGTATACTCTATACCCTTAAAGTTGCAACCGACGGCATAATACGAGCCAAAAGGACAAAACAAAAGATAAAAATCAGAGTCAAGTATACCCAAAAAACGAAAAAGATGCGCATCATTTCGTTGCAAAAACAGGCATCGAACATGCCGTATGTACATCCCCGAAAAATCACGGCAGTGGTACTACCTTGAAGCGGAGGCGGGCCATCGTCAGCCATGCCTTTTCGCTATCCTTGTCGCTGGGTCGTTGGTTTCGCTCCCTTAGGCCTCAGCCCCTTCACGAGAAAAAACAAACAAGGACGGCAAAAAGTGCGGGAACAGCGGGAGGTGTGAGGAGACGTTTGAGAATATACAGCAGATAGACCCTCAGGCCAATAAACCATTCCGCCCCCCTCTGCGCATCAAAATGGTAGAGTGGAGAGTGCCCCCCCGGTTCTCTGTATCATGGCGGAAATTTGTTTACACGCTACACGTTGCATGATGTCGGTATGTAGACAGACCCCTTGATATACTTGGACTTGTTTGGGCTCTTCGGACGGAGCTACACAGGGGGGGGGGNTTTTCGGCATCTTGTGCTTACTTCCTTGCGTACGGATGACAGCTACGTATGGGGGGTGGAGTTACTCATGTTTTGCATGCATTGCCGGTTAGACCATTGACCACGCGTCCTCGAGAGGACGCAGTACGGGGGAGGGAAAGAAGGGAAACATAATATCTGCATCGCCGACTACAGAATAAACTCACACCAAGAGTATCACAAGGCTATCTAAGTTTAAATAAGGGGAGGGGTTAGGGGGTTGGGAGGCATGTTCTTGGCGGCCGAGTACGTTGGCGAGGCTGTGAGTACTTGTCTGTGCCTCTGGTGGGAGACACATCCATCCTCGTGTGGGAGGCGCCGAACATCATGGCGGCGATGGAACCGTCTCGCTCGCCGAGAGCATCCCGGAAACGTAGAACTTGATTGTGGCACTCTATTCGTCGTAGGAGCAATCGAGCTTTTCGAAATCGGCCCAGGGGGAGCGGTATCGAATGCATTATCAGGCGAGACGATAAACTCGAGGACGGGCATGATGGGATGCAACAACCCTCCCGCGGCCCTACTACTGCAAACGTACATGTACACAGGTCCTTTCCCAAGACACCCACCGATGGCACACCCGCCAGTTCGATTCGAGGATAGCTATCAAAGGTAAGGATGGGAAACGCTTCATCTGCTGTGTTCCCCCCCCCCCGTTCGTGAACAGACCAACCACCTTCATCCAGCTGCTGCTTAGGTGTGAGACAAGTCGGGAAAAGGTGCGACCAAAAAGCAGCGTTTTCGTCTGTCAAAGCCGCACCTGGCTACCGTAGGTTGCATTAAGGTATCTCACTCACCCCCTGGATCGATTTTTCAAAGCTCGGTTTCTCCACGACGAAGAGGATACCGATGTCGAATGGCATAACGTTATTGGAAAAGCTCTCGACGAGACGGTTCCAACCCCGACATTTTCGGCACCGTGCCCCCTCTACCGAGTAATCGAGCTTTGACAATCGGTCCAAGGGGGTGTGATATCTTATGCAACCTACGGTACGCGAAAGAAAGATGGGGCACCCAAGCAGCAGTGCATTGTGACGTAGGTCACCACGGGAGGGGTCAATGGATGCAGAAGGTCCATACGCGTACGCGTAAGAAAACACACCTCACCAGGTGCCACGGGCACGCACAACGATAGATGCGTACCAGCCACGCCGTTCCCAACACCCCAACACCCGAACACGCGATTAGTCTACACGTCGTAGTTTCCAGTCTATGCATACTCCGAGTAGACAACAACGGCATGTACCAGGACGGCTGGTGGCGGCACACATGTTCTGCGACAGAAGGAGGGTGCAGCTGTCCGGGGGCGGTTTGCGTCGGGATACAAGTAGAGTGGAGAGGCCTGGCACAGACACCCATGAGCCGTGTGTGTCAACGCCGAACAAGCCACCCTTCGAAAGATACAGCGGTACAGCCAACGTGCTGTGCTTGTTCTGTCCAAGCCTAAACATGTTCGAACACTTCCATTCCATGGCAGCGTATGCACTACCGCGGGGTTCGCAGCTGGATCGGTTGGCGCTGAAACTAAGGTGGAGCAATCGGGTCTCTCCGTGGGTCTCTCTCTCTCGTAGACTCAAGCACCCACAGCAGTAAGTGCAAGAGACACGGCATCTGGAAAGAGCTGCATGTATTATAAGGGGACGTGCTGAAGCGAGAAGGCCGCCCGTTTCGACACAAGTGGAGGGGCATGGCAAACCATCTCTCAGGCCAAACAGAAATCTGTGTGGGCAATATCTCAAGCTTGTTTTGGGTCGTAGTCGCTGGTTCCATGATACGGAACAACGGGCGCGCTAGTTGCATTGGAAGCGACAGACACATAGCTTTGGGGATAAGATTACGACAGAGGGTAACCTCGACCCAACCAAAAGGGCACAAGCTTGATTGTCGCCTACTTAGGGAAACAGGAACAATCCTGGGGAGGGGGAACATTTCAACGTAATCTCACCTCTTCCTCTGGTTCGCTAGCTCTCCTCTTTCTTTGCCACTGCCACGCCTCCTCTCTGATCTATCTATCTCTCTACTTCCACGGTGTGCTGGCTTCTCGGCTATCGGTGCTCTCAGCTCTCCGGGACCGTGAGGCGGTCCGCAGACGAGAATCATCTGGAGGATGTTTATTTAAACTATAATCTGCAGATCCCCCCTAGAGATCAGTTTGCTCGGCGGTCTCACTCACAGATGGATGTGCGAGCCTTGTGCTCTGCTCTGAGCAGCTGCCGTGCAGTCGGCGCAGGGCGGGTGCGGTGAAATTCTCTTCACTCAAAGGATAGGCCAGAAACACGGCTGGTATTTGGACGGGGTGATCCCAAAATCACGAATACCGCTGAGCAGAACCGCGTAGTAGCAGCAGCGGAATAGACACACCATTCGTGGGCATCATGCCATCGTCTGTACGAGTCCGGGTGGTAGAGGCGAGGGATCTGCCGGAGATGGACCGCACCGTCAGGGGGGAGTTTTGCACAGATGCTTACGTGGACATCAAGTTCCGCAACTATGAGCAGGTATGAATGAATTACTCTTCAGTAAGTCGTCCACTCTGCATGCGTGCACCATGTTTGCCGTTCGAAAATATTTTAAATTGTACCACCTAGAAAACCGCACCGTACATATGTCGCGAACGTCTGAAACGCCCTCAACAAACCACACGGGCCGTGGCAGCATGCCAACAGTGCGTAAAACTACAAATGGAGCACGGTGCTCAATACTCTGGTCAAACGGCCGAGGGGAACTTACAGCAGTGGAGATGATTTTCTGTGTTTGGTCCGAGTGGCAAGCTGATTGCGGAGGAGCATGAGTCATATACTGCTTGCTATATCCTTCTTCTGTTCCGGGTTCCTCCCACGGTAGGCAAATATTTTTTCTGGGTGGAAACTGCTTTTACTGGCTAATCTGCGCGTTGCTGATGTTGCGTACGCCCGAACGTATGAGAGGACTCTTATTCCTCATTGCTGTAATATGCATCACCAACGGTAGGTAACGAAAGATACCACACCCCCTGGGCCGAATTTCAAAGCTTGACTCCTCCACGGCCATGAGGATGCCACATGTTTCGGGTGTCGGCGCGTGTACTTCGTTGTCACGCTCGCGGGCTCTTGTCGAGAGCGTTTCTGCACAAAGGATTGACTCATGCTCCTTGTATGAACGAGTGAGATAAATGTGCAAGCAAGAAGAGCCTATAATAGCGCGTCAAGTCCATCACACCCGTACCCATCACATCCGCGGAACCCCACCCGGAGATATCGGAGATCTATATCCTGCCCAGTAGACACACCAAACGCCAAATTCGTATCACATGTTTTCGGAACGCTCTAGACGAAACGCTTCCAACCCCGCCTCCTTCGGGACGGTCGCTGTTATTGCTGCGGGGTAACTCGAGGTTTGAAAATCGGACCCCCCCCTCGCAACCGCCGTTTCTGCCCCGATATATGCATACCTCCCCTCTGTTTGATTGCAGCGGACGGCTGTGTGCAAGAAAACCTTGAATCCGTACTGGGGGGAGGAGTTCAAGTTCGAGGTGGCCGACGACTCGGTCCTACAGAACGAACCCATCGAGTTCAAGGTGCGAATTTGTGCGAAAGGAGATCAATTTTTACACGGAAACCCCTTAACTTTACCCCCCCCCCGCCCAAATTAATTCATACGCAGCTGTCATCCGTACGCAAGGAAGTAAGCACAAGATGCCGAACACC